GACAGCCCCACAACATTACTGCTCTAGAGGAGATCTGGATGGAGGAATGGGCCAAAATACCAGCAACAGTGTGTGACAACCTTGTGAAGACTTACAGAAAACGTTTGACCTCTGTCATTGCCAACAAAGGGTATATAACAAAGTATTGAGATGAAATTTTGTTATTGACCAAATACTTATTTTCCACCATAATTTGCAAATAAATTCTTTAAAAATCCTACAATGTGATTTTCTGGATTTTTTTTCTAATTTTGTCTCTCATAGTTGAGGTATACCTATGATGAAAATTACAGGCCTCTCTCATCTTTTTAAGTGGGAGAACTTGCACAATTGGTGGCTGACTAAATACTTTTTTGCCCCACTATATATATATATATATATATGATGATGTGTTCACACACATGATGACGATGAGTTCATAAACATGAACCACAAACATGTATTGACAGTACATTTTTAAATTAACTAAACTAAATGTAACATGTACTAAAATAAATAATAAGAAATATGACTTTTTTAGTATCACCCAGGGACTTGTTCTTTACAAGTGGAGAGAACATTATACTTTCTGTAATTTACTGTAAAAGTATAAGCCTTGCCTTCTTCAAGGGATAGTTCAACCAAAAAACATTTACTCGCTGTCATGATATGCCAAACCTATATGACTTACTTTAATATTACTAATATATGACTAGGTAATAGATAGTTGAACAATTACCAGGCTTTTACAGTATCGTTATTCCATGCTCATGCTCTTTCCATTTAAAATGACTATCACTTTTTATAGCAAATATGTCTGTGCATGTGCAGGGCTTGTGCTGTATGCACTGAGTTCTCGGAATCCGGGCGTCTCTAATTGCAGAGGTTTAAATAGAGACACTGCCAGCTAATCCAATTTTGTGTCTCTGAGCACGGGAGAGAAGAGGAGAGGAAACACACAGCAGCGATGGAGGAAAGGAGGAGAACGAAAGAGAGGAGAGATGAAAGAGAGGAGGAGAGGGGTACGCTCAGATCACCAATTTGAGAGCACGGAGGGGGAAAGATCGCTAAAAAAAAGGTTGTGATAAAGACTAGTATCTGATGAAATGAGATTCATGGAGCTTTGAAAGTGAGAGAGGATGTGTGGGCGGCAGACAGGAACAAGAAGGGAGGGATGGTCGTGGCACAAAAAGGTAGCGCATTTGCTCACGACGTACGAGAGCCGGTGGCTCACAGGAACCCGGGTTCGAATCCATCGTGTCCATTCCCGTTCCCCTGTCTCTCTGCTTTCCTGTAAATAATGTTGAGAAAAGCCCAGACGGAAAAGAACAAAAGCTGGAGAGGTGTAGAAAGTCCCATAACGAGAGCAAAGAGGCAAAGTTGAAGGCAGAGTTGAGGAGAGGGGGAGAGAGTAGAAGGAAAAGCAGGAGATCAAGGGAAAGAGGGAGGGGGAGGTGCGGCATAGGAGAGGAAGAGAGAGAGATGCAGGCTTGGAGGAGGTGAGACAGAATAGCGTTCTTGTATTTTGAGGATGTTTTGAAGCGAATAGGATACTAAGGCCTCTGTTGAAAGGATCTGGGCATTGTGCTTGCTCTCTCACTCTCTCTCTCTCTCTCTCTCTCTCTCGCTTTATTTCTAACTCTTTCCATCCCATATTGAGACTAAAGCATTGCATATGGTCTCTCTCTCTTCCTGTGTCTCCCCATTCTTCCCTCACTCATACACACACACACACACACACACACACAAGATTATACTCATGGATTCGTAAGCAGGGTTGTCCCAGATAAGATGTTTGTGGATTCTGTGTGCTTCTCTTCAATGCATCACACACAAAAAATATCTCAATACTGCAGCAGAAAAAAAAAAAAGTCAGCTTGGTGAAATCTGCTTTTACAGCATTTGATTCTACATTTATTCAGTATTATTCACAAACCCAAGCATCATTTACTCATCCTTATGTACTTGCAAACTTTCTTTCTTGCTTGGAACACAAAAGAAGATGTTTAGCTGAATATACAAGATGCCCCATTCAGGGAAAGTGAGAGTTTGTCAAAGCTTTAGTCAGGCTTTATAAAAGCAGTCCAAATGACTCGTCTGCAGTATTCCAAGCCTTCTGAAGTCATACGATAGATGACTACATTTAAATTGACTGAAAGCTTTCACTAAACATTTTGCTTGTCAAATCTTGGTCACCATTCACTTTCATTTTATAACAAAAAGCTGCTTGGACATTCTGATGAATGATTCCTTTTGTGTTCCATAGAAAAAAAAAATCGCAGAGTTATAATTTCTTCATGATTCTCTGAAATATCCTGTGGAGAAATAAAAATGAGACAATATTTGGCATATAGTTAGAGTACAAACCTATAAAATGAATGCAAATAGCATTATATTAGCATGTTTATTATTTGATCTTGAAATAATTTGATGAGAACTGTTCATATTGAAATCAATTTGAGACACCTTCAGTTTGAGACATATTTACAGTAAAAACAGTATAATTTTGAAATATCATTAAAATTGAACATTTTAGTTTATATATATATATATATATATATATATATATATCATTTCTATTTTAATATATTTTAAAATGTCAATTATTCCTGTGATGCAAAATTCATTTGAGTAAGCTGATTTGCTGCTAGAGAAACATTTCTTATCATTATCAATGTTGATATTTTTGTGGAAACCATTATACATTTTTTTTTTTTCAGGATTCCGATCAAAAGAATAGCAGTTATTTAGAGTAGAAATTTGTAGAGGAGAAGTGTGTATTATAAATATATTTACTGTCACTTTGATCAGTTTAATGAAAAAAAGAATACATTTCTTTTAAAACATTCTCAAAAAAAAAATAATTCTAACTTTTGAACGTTATTGTACATATAAGATTTCTATACCTTAAATCCCCGCTAGCTCTCCATTTAATTGCAATGATGCCTAGGAGAAACAAGTGTGAATTGTGATTTTTCTTTCCTACGGGCATCATGGTGTTGCTTCACGATGACAAAAAGCAGTTCCAGCCTGAAAAAGATTTCCCATCATCTGATTGGCTGTTAACAGCACACCTGCTCCACACAGTCCTATCTGATTGGCTGAATCAGAGGTGTCATTGCTTCAACACCAACGTCTACCAAGTAACTCTTACACCGTTCAGCTGCGTCGAGGGTGTGAAACAACACGTATCAAAGCCAGGGAAAAGAAATATAACAGTCTAATATTAGTATTGTGTGAAAGAGACATTCTGCTAAAACTTTTTTATATTTCCATTGGTCTCAGTATTCAAAGTGAACTTAGAAATGTGTTCATTCATACGAGTGCCCGTACTTGTGCACGAGTGTGCAAGCATGTTCATGCGTGATTGCACATAGGTTTTGTATGATGTGTGTGTTTGTTTGTATAAAGAGATATGTTTGTCTACAAGAAGAGGTGTTTGTGTGCGTGCAAAGATTAAGACGAAAAAGTGTGTGTGTGAAGGTGCAGTCGCTGTAATGCGTTTGTAACCCGAGATTCAGGTGGTGATGCAGGCAGGCGTGCAAATACGTGCGTAGAATTTGTTTCCGTGGCAACAGGCATGAGTGAGTCAGTGCTGGTGAGCTTCTATTAGACAGAGAGAGAGAGAGATGAGGCAGTTTCCATAGCGACTCAGCATCACAGCTGCTTGTGTGTGTGTGTGTGTGTGTGCCTGTGTGTGTGTGTGTGTGTGTCTGTGTGTGTGTGTGTGTGTGTCTGTGTGTGTGTGTGTGTGTGTCTGTGTGTGTGTGTGTGTGTGTCTGTGTGTGTGTGTGTGTGTGTCTGTGTGTGTGTGTGTGTGTGTGATTTTGTGTGTCCGTGAAAGGACCTTGGTCTGTGTAACTTTTATTTTATTCTCTTTTGTGTGCCATTTCCTTTTCACATCTCGATCTCTTCCTGTCGCTCTCTTTCTCTCCCTCTTTCTCTCCCTCTTTCTCTCCCGCTCTCTCTTTCTCTCCCTCTCTCTCTCTCTCTCTCTCTTTATCTGTCTCACCCTTGCTTTTATGATTTCCCCCATCTCTCTCACCCACTCTCTTTCTTTCTCTCAGACCCCCTCTTTCTCTCTCGGGGTAAACAGATGTCGTGGTAGTTATTTATGTTTCTGCATGGTCTGGTTTTCATATGAATTATCTACAGCTCTTGCACACCACAGAAGCACTGGCTAACTGGACATCTCCGAATGCCCTCGCACTCACACGCATTCACACACACACAAGCATCTCTGAGAGCATATGCATATATGCATGAGCATGTGCAACTCAAACACAGGGGAACAACCTGTACCGTTGAACAGCACATATAGAGCTGAATATAAAACAGACAGAATATACCTATCTGGAGACTTGAGATGGGGGAGTTTAGATGGGGTCGAAGGACAGAGAAGGTACCACACGAGGGAGCATGAAAGGTAGGGACTCTATCAATGCAGCACCTAGAGGGGAATCCAAGATGTGAGATGGTGGAAGAGGGTCAAAGGGCCCGTCTGACCTATTGGAGCTTTTGTATTCCAAGTATACTGAGCAGAGAAAGAGAGAGAAACGCACACAGATGGTACTAACTGATACAGAGATACATCAGAAGCAACAGAGTTTTGGAAGAGAAACAGACAGACTGTGCCAGCAGAGTGCAGAAATGATGAGCCAATGCAAGGCAGGCCATGCTAAAAGATCCCAGAGTGCGAGGAGACGATTGAGGATATGGTCAGAAATCGTGTACTAATATACTATTCTATTTCTGCGGTATGACCTACTAAATTTGCCATTATATGCCATATGCAACAGCACATACAGCACTCACACAGTACGGTATCCCATAATGCAGTGTGCTCAACCTGACCTTCTATTTTAAGAATGACAAGTGAACTGGAAGCAATATCAACCACTGTTTTTTACCTTCTCTTCCTTGACTCATTATTTGATCTGACCATCAAATGGTAACACATTGCTAATTCCACTAATACTGTTCCACAATCTTTTTTTAGAAAAAGAGTAGGCAGTATACAGTGTGTACACTGTGTAGTATGTAATAAGCAGTAAGCTATTGTTCTAATCCTAACATATCTTCTAACTAAAAAACTGGGGCATCAGCACACTAAACAAGCCGGAAATGTATTCATATACCTTATTCTTTTACAAATTACAGACAATAATCCATTCCTGCATTCTATATATACATTAATATATACAGTAGCTGTACATCTGTGATGTTATATACAATACCATAAAAAAAATTGGGATGTAAGATTAGAAAAACAATTGAAAGAAATTAATACTTTTATTCAGAAAGGATTAAGTTGATCAAAAGTGACAGTAATGATGTTTATAAAAGATTTAAATCTCAAATAAATGTTATTATTTTGAACTTTCTATTCATTAATAGATTTCCACAAAGATATTAAGCAGCACAACCGTTTTCAACAAAATATGTAATAATAATAGGTAATAATAATATAATAATAATATAGGATTATAATCAGAAATGCTCCTTGAGCACCAAATCAGCATATTAGAACGAGAGTAATGGCTGATGAAAATTCAGCATTGCCATCATGGGAAAAATTACATATTAAAAAGTATTAAAAAATAACATCATTACTTTAAATTGTAATATTATTCCACAGTTTTACTCTTTTTACTGTATTTTTGATTAAATATATGCAGCCTTGGTGAGCATTAAAGACTTTTACATTAAAGACTTTTTACAAAAACATTACAAAATCTTACTGAGCCCAAACTTTTGAACTGTAGTTTATATGGACTATATATTTCTTAATTTTTTACATTTACATTTAGACATTTAGCAGACGTTTTTATCCAAAGCGACTTACAAATGAGGACAATGAAAGCAATCAAAATCAACAAAAAAAGCAATGATATGCAAGTGCTATAACAAGTCTCAGTTAGCTTAATGCAGTTTTTTTTAATCATATAATAAATAAAAAGAAAACAGATAGAATAGAAAAAGAATAGAGCAAGCTAGTGTTAGAGGCCTTCTTTGCTTTTGTTAATCAGAAGTCAGAAAGTCAGAATTATAATTGTATAATAAATAAAAAGAAAACAAATAGATAGAATGCAAAAAGATTAGAGAAGCAATTGTTAGTTTTTGTTTTTGTTTTTTGTTTTTTTTAAAGAAAACAAGCAGTTAGTAAATAAATAGAGTACTCTTTTTTTAAGAGTAGAATTAGAATAGAGTGCTAGAGTTAGAGGGTCAAATAAATATATTTTTATTTATAAAAATATATAAATAAAATATACATTTTATTTTTATTTAAAAAATAATGTTTTTTATATAAACAAGAGCTCTTAAGTGCATAATATCAGGCTTTCACGGTTTACTCACTAAGCAGATCATTATTGGTATTAATTAATAAAACATGCGTTCACGTAATCATTTTTATGCATGTTTATGTTTTACACAGATATAAGAGATCGTCGGAAGAAGCCTGTGATGTTGTTTATCCATGGTGGTTCATACATGGAGGGAACGGGAAACTTGTTTGATGCAAGCGTTCTTGCTGCCTATGGAAACGTGATTGTCGTCACTATGAACTACAGGTTGGGTGTTCTGGGTAAGTACAACATTATAGCAAGTCTTTTAATGCCCCATTTGTGCGTATATAATTGTCTCCACGTACCATAAGAGATAAAAAACTGTTGCAGTTGTCTTATGATAGTTCTTGTTCATTCAAATTTAGTTTATGACATTTAAAGGATAGTTTACCCCCAAATTAAACTTCAGTCATCATTTACTCACCCCATGTTCCAAACTTGTATGACAGTCTTTCTTTGGCACATGAAAGATGATAGTTTTCAGTATGCTCTGTCTGTCCTTTTTGAATGGCAAAATGGACTGTCAAGCTCCAAAATGAAATAAAAAGTGTCAAAGTTTGCTTAAAATCTACCCCTTCACCATAAACGTCAAATCTCATTCATACTTTTAAATATGGCATGTCAAGTCATGTTGCACCAGATTTGGCATCAGTGAAGTCGAACATCATTGATTCTCATGCCAAAGCTGCTGCAACATGTCTTGACATGCCATTTTTGAATGTAAGTGCAAATGAGATTTTGAGTGATATTGTGTTGCTTCAGAAGACTTGTGAGTGAAAAATTCCATAAAATTTCTTGTGTGAATGTTTGTGCAGTATATATATATATATATATATATATATATATATATACACACAGGGCTTGAATTTCGGTGCAGGATTGCGGGGATTGCTCATAATTCTACTGATTCCCGCAGTTTCCGTGCTTGTAGCGTGGGAAATTCCCGCAAATATTTCAGTGTGAAAGATGACGGAATGTATCGTTTGCACATGCTTTTCAGTCTTACAATTTTAAACATTCGAGTGCTCAATTCATTGCTTGCGCGCTCTCTGTGAGACCCCTTTCTGTGAGCTCACACCCAGAGCGCGTGCACATAGAGCCGCATCTTAAAGTGCGCAACTACAGAATGAAGTTGTGTTGCATCTTATTGCGCGTAAACAGCCAAGTACATACAAAATTATGTCAAAATACATAAACAGTCGATTTATACTAAACATTGTCAGTATATAGGCTATTAAGTGAACGTAAACAGTTGAGAAACAAAACTTATGTGCAACAGTTAGATCAGTGCATGAGGTCTTAAAGAGACAGCAACCTAAATAAACCTGCCGCTGTCTGTTTTTTATACATTGAAGACTAACCAGTGTTATTTTAAAGTTAAATAGATTATTCAGTTTCTGTGGTATTTCTGTACCTGAATATTACTGTTATACCTGAAAACTTAAAGCACAGTTAATTTTAGTTGTATCTTGTTATTGTATTTGTTTGTGCCATTGTTTGTCATTTATATATTCTTATTTATTACTGACTGTTTACTTGTCTTTTTAGTTAAAATATATTCAGTTCAGAGTTTGAAATCAAAGTTCTTTTTAAGAATCTTCCTCACAATATAAATATGAATCAACAACATTGTAAAACACAAATACACTGGTGACGAAACATTTAGGTTGGATGATTGTAGTTTAAAAATACATCTAAAAAAATATCCTAACTCCCCCCTCAAATTAAATCCCCCCCATAAGAGCCACCTAAAGGGGGAATTCAGGCCCTGATATATATATATAGTTTATTTATTGTAATATTTACCTTTATGTTTGAATAGTAAGTTAATTCAAAGAACAATACGGTAAATCAAAACTGATTACTGGTGTTTTGAGTTTTAGAAGGAACACTATTCTCATTTAGTTCCTGAATTATTAGATTGGATGTTCATCTATAAAGCTGATTTATTTTATTTTATTCAGAGAACATAAAGAAAAATGTTGAAAAGGTTGTGATGAAAAGAAGGGGAGGAAGTTGTAGTGTACAACTGTATAGAGCTTGGTTATTGAATTGTAAAATCTATTTTGTGAATTATATGAAGCCATCAGAGAGATTTTAGAAGAATATTGATTTTATTCTCTTCATTTTTTTTTAGTATTTTTGTGTTATTAGCATCTAGATATGGTGTTCTAATCTACTTCAACTTTAACACATTAAGTGGCCTCATCTGGAATAGAAGAATTACAGTAATTTAATCAGGAAGAAGAAACGGACGAAACTCTAGAAGTAGAGTACTGCTCTTTGTCAATTTAAAGATATTGAAAAGTGATTTTAGGATATAAGAATTACAATAACCCAATCGGGGAGAAGTAAAAGCCTATATTCCACTTTCAGTGGCACTAAACTGTAAAAAAGACACAATTATGACTGCATTTCCTAGCTGTTAGTAACAACATTAAAGTACACTTAAGTTTCGAGTTTGGTTTAGGTGTCATATCAAAGATTCACAAGGAATGTTTCATGCATAGTGTGAAAGATCTGCTTTTTGGGCTGTTTCTGCACAGAGGCAGGTTTGCCTCCCATTCTCCATGGATGCATAATGAATGCAGAAGGCCAGGCTAAGTTTACCTTCAAGAATGACAGATTGAATATCAATCTAAACAGACTGAGGTAAATGAAACAGTTCCCTGTGGAGATGAAGTGATCTGATTCAAAGTTGTAAGTGAAGTAGTTCTGGCCTGTGTGTGTTCTCAAGTGTGTTTAATTCATACACTGATCAAACGCATCTTGTATTAGCCGTTCTCATATCGGCTTGCGTACGAATAGAGAAGAGAGATTCAGTGTAGAATATTGTCTATTCTGAGATGTAGGAGAAAAAAGCATTTTGATGATACTTAGTGTTTATGTATTTGCTCTGAAAGGGGTTAAAAGGATTATTTGATCAGAAAACCCATTATTTCAGCCAAACAACCATTATAACCAAGTAGCTTTAAAATGCTTAGTTCAAGAAATAAGGTGGGAGAGTGCGCTGTACATTCACTCCCCCCAACTACAATCCCTGCCGGTACGAGACTCGAACCCGCATCCTTTGGGTTACTAGTCCAACTCTCTAACCATTAGGCCACGACTTCCCCTAAAGGGGTCATATGATGCGATTTCAAGTTTTCCTTTCTCTTTGGAGTGTTACAAGGTGTTCGTGAATAGATAAGATCCCTAAAGTTGCAAAGTCTAAAGTCTCAAACCCAAAGAGATATTCTTTATAAAAGTTGACTGGTCCACGCCCTCCTAAAACGCCTCGTTTAAACACATCCCCCACATGTCTACGTCACGATGTGGGAAGATTTGCATAACCCCGCCCAAATGTTCACACAAAGAAAGAAGGCGTAACTTTATTGTTGCTGCTACCGCCACCGCCATGTTGTGAAGACACTGTGTTTCTTTGCGAAAGGGAAAAAACTTTGTTTGGCCTTCCAAAAGAGGACACAAATAATCTGATGTGTGCAGCACATTTTATGGAGGACTGTTTCCTGATCCTGGGAGAGTAGACTACAATGCCGGCTGTTCTGACACACAGCCTGTAAGTATGTTTTCATATTTAAAGAATTTGCCACTGATGATTCAAACGTGAGTTTTGAGCAGTGTAGAGTAGCGCTTGTTGTTTGTCATTTCTGCGATCACAAATGCAGACATGGTTTGATATTTACGAGGCGCGATGCAACGCAACGCGTAAAAAGACAGTATAAGCCATTATATTGCATAATTATGTCCCCACAGGATGCAAAAAATGCCTAGTTTATAAAGGGTTTTAATGTTTTTGTCTCGTCGCTCCGGCCGGGACACGGCATCACAATATGGTAAGGGGTGTAACATTTCCATCACACGCTTGAGGTATTCGGCCAATCACAACGCACTGGATAGCTGGCCAATCAAAGCACACCTCACTTTCCAGACCGATGAGCTTTGTAAAAATCGACTCTTTCAGAAAGGCGGGGCATAGAGGGCAAACAATAATGTACAGTATGTGGAAAATAATGTGTTTTTTGAACCTTAAACCGCATAAACACATTTAATTACACCAAATACATCAAATAATGTTCTTTTTAGCAACATCATATGACCCCTTTAAGCTGATTTACAGAGATGAATCAAAATCTTTAGCTCTCATGCTTGTCATGACAAGGTCATTAGTAAATAGTGAACCAATAAAAATGCATTAAATCATTGCAATATACACTGTTACTTAATTTATAGCCCTACACATTTAATAACTCCAGAATTTTAGTCTGTGTAAAAGCATTTAGTGTAGAAGTTTGTCAAAAAATGTGTCAATAAAAAAGGTTGACATTATGCCACACAGGATGCATACAGCACATTTTGGCTAGTGGTCAGCAGATATCCATGCATACAAAAAATGTGCATACACTGAGTATGTTGTATAGCCCACACTGTACAAAAACACAAATACATGTACGCTGCCCTGAAAGGTTGCACAAAGGATGATTATTAGCAGGGGTGAGGAATTTTGGTACATAGATGAATAAGAGTAACCTTTCAGTGTATTATCTGTCTCCCTCCCTTTCTCTCTATTCTGCTTTAAAGAGGTTTTTCTATAGTGGTGAAGAGGATTACGCGTTTGTGTCTTGCCATTCCAGCCCCATTGGATGATTGAATTGGATGAAGCATTTTCAAACAGAAAAAATGCACAAAGGAAGCAAAAAATAATAATACACAGAACAGTGTTCTGCATCATAAAAGCAGGTTTAGCACAAAATTGGACCCTATCCATCTCCCATGTGCACAGACACCAGCCACAACCGTATGAGCTATATGCATATGCACATTTACACAGCAAAAGAGAGATAAAACGAAAGAGAGCCAGAGAAAGGGGGAGAGGTGGAGAGAGAGACAGAACAAGTGAAAGAATAGAGACAGAAGGGAGAAATGTGAACATGCTAAAAATAACCGTCAGAAGCGCCTTTTTAAATCTGCAGTGAAGCAGAGAATTCATTCAAACCGATGCTAATGCAGCACACATACACAAACACAGCGTTTGTTTCAGGATCCTGTGTGTTTCTGAAGCCTCATATAAATGTGTGTCTATCTGAAATTCCTTACACACGCTATGAGGAGGAAGAGGCAGAAGGCCAGAGTGAGCTGTGAGTGCTCGTGCACATGTGCACTGTGTACTGCAGCAGGCTATCTGCGTTAGCATTAGCGCTCCACCAATGTGCAAGTTCTCTCCAGATCTGAGGCGCCC